GTCACCCATTGCCAAGTTCTCCAGGTTCGGATTCATTATGCCCACCAGATTAGGCTTTTCCCGGTTTTCCATCTCAATAATCCGGTTTTGATGATCTGAGTTGCGATTTCCTTCTCGACCATTGGCATCTTGGCCTTCAGTTCCTCTCGCCCCTGGTCCAGTTGTAACATCCCCGTCTCGAGCCGGTTCAATTAACATACATATGATAAAACAGAAAACAGCGGAAGACTTAACTTCTGAAAATACGAGCTAACTTTTTCTTTTTCTTTTTAAATTCTCATTCGTCGTAAACGAAAATCGGGCAGAGTTTCCTCTATAAATCGGACAACTGGGGATTTTCCAATCCCTCACAGAAGCATTTCCTGATAAACAGTTTATACAAATATAATCAAATGCCCATCCATGGGCGCATGCATAACTTGGCTCAGTGCCACTATATCTAACAGCATGCAATCCAACACGTAAACATATCTGAATACTACCTCATCATATAACGTGCCTGAATACCCAAATGTACATGCATCAAAGCGACAGACATGTACAAAACATATACAGGCCATATACACAATAAAGGATCAATATCATGATCCATCAAATGCGAAAATACTAAAATACATCAAACACTCCAAAAAGGTAGTAGCCTACAGCCACTCAAAATCCGATCTGTCAACTGCCTCAACCACGTGTCGTGTCCCTGCCTAGTGAGGACTCACCGGGAATCTGGGCACCTGAAAATATGTCCCCAAAGAGGGGTGAGATTACAAATCTCAATAAGCTCCAGGTTTATAGAGAATTCTCCATACCCCTGGCTCACTCCTGCATGAAAGTCAGATACAAAGTATACGAATACAACATATAACAGATATCATAACAGAACAGATCATATATCCATATCATATCAGAGATGTGCGCCGTCATTCCCAAGGGAGGACCCCAAGCGAAAATCAACGCACGTGTTCCCGAGGGAGGACCCCAAAGCGGAACCAGACATATCAGAGGCGTACACCATCAGCCCCGAGGGAGGACCCCAAAGCGGACGTCCGGGTACTATACAATCAATGGCCAGAGATTGTTACATAAATCATATTACAGAAGTCATATCAGAGCAAAACATATCATGTTATCAAATAACTCTATATGAATGCATCTATACAAAGCATCTAAATCACAGTCATACAGTCCAACCATAGTTCACTAACCATGGTGGAGCACTCAAGCAGGAAAAGACTCCTTAAACATAGAGCTTACCTCTTGAAGCTTTACCAATACGCTTACTTGTGGAACAAGTTACTTTTATCGCTTCAAGAGATTTCCGATCCTTCTCAATCCCTAGGCACACCTAGAGAATAATTTACAATGCATCAATAAAATGATGCAATACCATGATTATTTCATAAGAATACATTTTATCGCTTATTTTCCTTTCTTTATATTTTTGCCAATTCTATGCCAATACACAAGTCTAGACCTCTATACACCCGTTGGCGTTCTTTAATTTAACCAAGCATTTACTTAAGAATTTTTCACATAAATCATGCTATTTTTCTTTAAAAGTCGCGGGCATACCCTTAGGGACTCAAGGTATTTTTCAACCATTTGTCAAAGCATTTCACTTCTTAGCTCATCCATTGGTATATTAAAATGCAACACATTTTATTAGAATAAAATGTAACCAATATATATATATACCCCTAAACATCCTATAGTTCGAAACATAGAGCAAGTATTTGTAGGATTTTTTTTTTCTAACTTTGGCATTTCCACCAATTCATCCATTTACACTATATTCCAACATATTTCACCTTTTCAAACATACAGTAAAAATTTGCATAATGAACCCTATATAACCCATGAAGGCCGAAACCTAGGGGGAAAATACAATAGGGCTTTTCAATTATTTTATCACATGTGGATACTTACTCAACACTATAACTTCCTAAATAACAATAATCCATCATAATTTTCACATTCTATACTACTTTATTTCCTACCCAACTATGCTCATGACTTTCAAAACATTATTCACACTAATAAAGCCATAAGGTTAGAGTTTTGTTACCTCCAATGAACTACCCAAAGCCTAGAAGGCCTTCACCAAGCAAAGCTCCACCAAAAATGTCATTTCTCCTCCTTGATGAATAGTAGCTCAAAAATGGGGGAAGGAAAAACTCCTCACACACTCAACTATAGCTCAAATTGATTGGTGGAATGGATTCATTGAGTGGTTTCCAATCAATTTCATGTGGTGGGTCTTTGAATTTGGAGAATGAATGATTAAGAAATCAAAGAAAGGAAATTTGGAACCCTAGCCCCTTCTCCTCCAAGTGCAGCTCGGCTATGCATGAGAAAGAAGAAGAAAATCTGAAATGAATAGTGTTTCATTTAAGTGACAAGGCTATATAGGCACATGTGGCCCCTTTCATCGGATGTTTTTTCTATCGCGTATTTTAACTTAAATTGACCCGGAACTAACTTCAAGCTACGAACATATTTTTATTTTTCTAAAATCATTTACATAAATTTTTATCTGTTACAAAACAATATTCATAATTCACAGTATGGTTTCTGCACCGTTTTTGACGAAATGCACTGAATAACTAACTGTACTTTATTTACTTTTGAAACTTAACACTTATAAACTTATCATTTTCTTGGGCCTATATTGACTTGCTTGGCATATATTGGACTTTCTTATTCTTATTTCATCAATTATTTATTTCTGGACTCTACCGGTTGCTTAAACAGCAGTACAAAATACCCGGTAGAAACACTATTCACGAGATTTTCACGGAAAGTGCCAGACTATACAATTTTTCGTTCTGAACTCATATTTGTCGTCAGAATTATCAAATTATGTCTCTAAAATTATTTTGCTCTTTTTAAGCTCTACCGGTTAATTCACAAAACTGTAAATTCTCCGGCAGAACGCACTGTTCATAACATAGTCATGATTACAGTCAAAATACTCGGAATCACTCACTAAATCTAATTATGGCATTTAAATCCTTAAATTAAATCTCTAATTAAGATTTACCATTTAGGGTCATTATACCAGTCACCCCTATTAAGCGATGTTCCAGATCTCGCATTCTCTTGGTATTCTCTTCCTGTATCCTTTGGAACTCTTGTTGCCGCTGGAGATTATTACGATTCTCTATCTCTGTCATTCGCTGCAAAATTGCCGCAAACGCATTTTGAGCCAGCCGAGAGTTAGGATCCGCGGAATGGGCAATGTGTGCAGCAAGATCCCCTGGATGTTGAGAGTGATTGTTTGGAATCGGGGCCGCCACTCGATTGCGGGGTGCTGGAGTGGAGGTCGTGTCTGACACATCCCCACTGATATGGATATGATCATAATCTACATCGTTTCCTGGCTGGTTTGGAGGCTGATTTTGAGGTTGATTTACCTCTTCCAGGACTGGATCCAGCGGCTGGTTCTGGTTTTGGGGTGACTGCTGGCTATTGCTCCTTGTAAGAACTGCCATCGTCGGTTAGAATTGTGGGAGTGTCGAATTCAAAGAGATGAACTCCCCACAGACGGCTCCAATGTTCTGTCCTAAGGATAGAGATGTCCAGCCCAATGGACTGGTATGTTTATCTTGGACCTAGTGCCCTCTCTAACGTATCTATGAAAGAGATACCCTTGAGTCAAGCAGATCACCGTGCACAATAACTACTGACGGCGTTTGCCAATGGGGTGTGTGTGCGCGCACAGTGACAACATAACAGTAAGAGAGAGCGTAACGTACCTTTAGGATTTACCTTGTATTTATAGAGGTTACCTGTGGGTAGTGTAGATGGGCCTTTAGTGCCTCTAATAGGGGCCCGGGCCTGCTTGCTATGCTGTCGTATTAGGATTAGTATCCTTGATGAATATCTACCCATGATTATATTAGATTTACATCTTAGATAACCCTTTATTGAGCCTGTCATTCTACGGACCCTTTATACGAGTCCAGAACACACATACATAATTTTTACTCCCCCGTTGTACTACCTTTGGTGCATAAAAATAATAAATAACCATTAACCCTATGCTAACATGATATCTTTTTTACTTTTAAGATTAGGAACTACTGATGTGTAGTTCAATATCTTTATATTCCATTTCTCTGGTCTATCTTAAATCTTAACCTCACTTAAAAAAAGAGTTAATTTTTAAACTAAAGAAAACAAAATTATAATAATATTAAAACTCCAAAAAATCAACATTTCTTTCGTTATTTATTTTTATCAAGTAGAAAATCCAGTTTTTGGACTTTTAGAAAACATACTCTTATGTAATCTGATTTAATTAATATATCTAATTTTTTGTTAAAAAAATGTGACACATGTCAACACCTAATGGGTGACGTCTAAATTAGGCGTGATTGCCTCTTTAATGATGCCCAATTTAGACGTGATTAGTGACGCCCAAATTGGTTGTGATTGCCTCTTGATTGACGCCCAATTTAGGCGTGATTGGTGACGCCCAAATTGGACGTGATATTGTACAATAAATATGTAATTATTTCTAAAACTGCCATAAATTCAAAATTAATTTATTAAAAAGCATTAAATTAATTTTTTTGCCTAGGAAATACTAATGTGTAGTTCAATATCTTTATATTCCATTTCTCCGGTCTATCTTAAATCTTAACCTCACTTAAAAAAAGAGAGTTAATTTTTAAACTAAAGAAAACAAAATTATAATAATATTAAAACTCCAAAAAATCAACATTTATTTCTTTATTTATCTTTATCAAGTAGAAAATCCAGTTTTTGGACTTTTAGAAAACATACTCTTATGTAATCTGATTTAATTAATATATTTAATTTGTTGTTAAAATATATTTTTTTGTATTTTTTTTTAAAAAAAAAATCCGAAACTAAAATGTCCAAAATGTCGGGTCCCCAGCTTAGAAGCAATATGGGCTTAGCAAGCAAGCTTGGACGACTTTGACCCAGATCCGAAATGATGCCCGTCAAAAGCGACCCGTTTGGGTGTTCTCGAACAATAAATTCTCGACGGATGCAGAAATTGTACGAGGAAGAACTAGGGTTTCATCTTTTGCCGTAAAACCTTTTCCATCAGAAAGTAACAATGATCTACGACGTTAACTCTCCTCTTTTCCGATCCTTCCTCAGCCAGAAGGGAGGTTCCTCCGATAAGAGGTTTGTTGTTCTCTCTCTCTGATTTGTTGAGGTTTATGGTAGATTAGGGTTTATGCATTTGGTTCAACTTTTGTGGTAGAGTGGTTTTTCGTTGTTTTTCCAAGTCTCTTTTTATGTTTCTATGTTTATTTAGAAATAGGTATATTGGTTGAAATCGAATGCTTTATTCACAAATTATAAATTATATATAGATTCTAGTGCGGTCGTTTTAAAGTTTTCATCTTATGTTGTCTTTCTATAATTTTGCGACTTTCCCATTCTCTTATTTGTGCAAAATTCTTGTATTTATATTTATTTATGTTAAAAAAGTGAATGGCGGATGATGCCACATGGTTTGCAAGTTTATTGTATTTGGAATTTAGCATAGTGGATATTTAGATTTGCTTTCAGTTTCTGTGTATGGCATATGCTCTTTCATACTTACCCAGAAAATAAGAAAAAGAAGAAGAAGGAATACACTCGCTTTCAGCACATTCTTCGGGGTGGGTGGTTGGGAGATTTGGGAAGAGTTCATGGCTTCCTAGGTTTCTTTTCCTGCATAAAGAAAAGAAAATTCTTTCAATCTTCAGCATTCGCTTTGCATAGCCCTTCAAGTGATAATCTTATGTTAAATATATATTTGCTTGATGATTAGTAGGATTTCATGCGGTAATGATAGAAAAGGTGTATTTTCTTTTGGAAATTAATTCAGTGTGACAATACGTGCCCTAGAGTGATATGACTGATGCAGCCATCAGAATGGCAATTGACTAGGTGTAGGAAGTGGTAATAGGGCTATAGTTGGTTATCTAGCAATATCAACCAAGCCTTATCCCGCTGGGGCGGCTAAGGTTTTAGATAACTCAGTTAAATGTGGAACATGGAATCCACCATAGAGATTTTTTTTGGCTTTTGAAGCATTCCAATATACAGAACAAGATTTTGAGAAAGTTAATTTGGAATTTTGGATTGAATAAATGGACTCTTAGAACACCACCTTGAGCTTATTCTCCTAACAATTAACACTCCCTTGCTAACAAAAAACAATGGTGAGTTATTTTTGGTGTGAATAACTAGTTTAATTAACTTTGTGGTTTGGGAGTTTTGGGTTTCATTGTTAGGGAAAAAAGAATTATAGGCTTGTAATCATGGAAATTTTGGAAAAGGTGTTTGTCTGTTGGTGACATGTTAATTGATATCTATACGGTTGTATATATTTATTTTCTGGTGACTATGGGTCTATTTGATATGCTAGAAAATAAGGGACAATGCAGTACAAAAAAATTGTGCTTTCTTTGATCTGTAAAATAGTTGAAGTACTGGAGTAACTGGACAAAAAAATTGTGCTTTCTTTGGTCCTGCATATGCGAAACGTTAGATTTCCTTCACCGTATGTTTCCTTCACCTTCACCTTCTCTCTCTCTCTCTCTCTCTCTCTCAGTGTTAGGGAATTAGTTCAATCATTGGGTGTTTTTCAGGCCATCTTCAGATTGATAATGTTTGTGGTTTGGGTTTTTGGAAGGGGTTGTGGGGGTTCAGCAGTTTGTGCAGATGAGTGTGTTTATGTTGATAACTATTGTGGATAGTTGAAAGCCTTTTACTTTTCCAACTTTTGGATGATCTTTATTTTTTTCTTTCTAATTTTCTTTCCTTCTAGAACCAATGGTCAGCATTTACCACAATTAATTATTATTGTTACTCGTTTAATATTTAGATTTGATTGTAAAATGAAAAGCTTCAGTTTACAGTGCAACGCTGTAAAGAAATGGTTTTGGACTCACCCACGATAATTTCATTGTTAACTTTTGCTTCAAACTTCTCAATGGTATTTTTGGCAACCATGTCAATAAAAAGTTTAAAGAGTTTTAGGGATTGCAAGGTATTTTTGGCAAGGATTGTGCAAACGGTCATAGAGCTGAGACTGTTGCAGATGCAATCGAAAGGGAAATTGATGACATTCAAGTTGATGATGATTGGCTTCAACAGTCTTGTAATTCACCAGCTTCTATTGGAAATACTTCAAATAGGACTGAACATGCTTTTGCCAGTCCACATTCCTAGTGCCAATGCCTTGCACAAGTAGCCTCTAATTTTCTTGAAAGTTTTAATGGCATAAGGATGTAGTGATAGCTGATATTGCAAAGTAGCAGCCAAAGTGCTGGATCCTTCAAAAAAAGACTTGGTTGACGAGGTTAAGAAATTAGGATTAACTGAGGAAGAGGAAATTGACTTATTTATAAAATTTTCTCAAAATCAGCAATTTGAAAAGTTCTTTTTGGAGTTCCAAGGTCCCCAAAGAATGTCCTTTGTGAGGAAGATAATGAGAATGTGATAGTGGAGGGGAATTTGATGATGATTGTTGTATGGTTTTGGATGTTATGGATAATAACTAGTTTGACCGATTCCTCTATGGCTATTAGTGATTATTGGGCATATATTTTGGATATTTATTAACTATATGCTCCTTATTCTATTTTGTGCTGGATAAAACCAATACAGGTTGTTTATTTTGGAATGGTTTTGGTGTTTATACAAGTTATTTATGTATCATGATCTATTTGTTTTATCCCTTTCAGTGTTTATATTATTTCATTTTGTTGTCTACGCAAGTTAAGGTTACATCAATACAAATTACCTACAAGATGTTTATAATACATTATTGAGAATGTTTATTAGTTTCGTTTAGAGTGTCAAATTATGTTTTCATCAAGTCAGAATTGACTTTGAAGATCTTGGAGTCTAATTTTCTTGGATTTGATGCATTCTTTTTTTTGGCTCTGTTTTTGTTGGGCTATATGTAAGGAAAATGGAGTTCATGATACATAATCCTTTTTCTAAGTTCGTTCTCTTTAACTATTGGCTTTTTGAATCTTTCTACATTTCCTGTGGTAGTCCATGTGCACCAACTTGTAGTGAAAGCACACTTCCAAATTGTTTTTCTTCATTGTTTTGATTTGAGTTCGAATTCTGTTTTTCAAGACAGTAGAATTAAGGTATATGTTATGAAGACTATGTAAATGTTAGTCCCATTTCATTATACCGAGTTGTTTTGGCTCAGCTTACAATATGAAATTAATTGTTATCGTTGTTAGGCTCTTGTTCCAATCTGCTCTTATTATTTGTGGTTACTTATGCCGGTATGATAGCTGTTCATTTTAAATGATGTATAACATGCAATAAATGTAAAGGAAGTATTGGCTTGGAAGTTGAAATTATTATTTTCCTTTTAGAGCAGAAGAAATTGTAGGGCTTGATGCCTTTCTGCGCTATAGAGTTGAGTCCATTCCAAATGCTGATATAACTTAGTTAAATTCAAAATTAATCAACTCCGTTGTTGTCTGATGCTTTCATTAAAGCCACTTCAGAAGAAAACCTTTACGTCCATTTCCTGCTTTTGAAGAATTATATTTTTAAAATTATTTTTGATGAATTGGAGTTTTTTAGTCTCCTTTTTATATACAGTTTTTATTAACCGCGGGTCTAACCCTCCACTATACTTATAGCTTTTCTCCATTCTGTTCTAAGACATACTGTCCGCCAATCTATATCCCACTTTACTACCTTCCCCCAAGTAAGTTTCGGCCTACCTCTGCCTCTTTTTGTGTTTAGCTCTTGATAACAAACTTCTGTTCTTACAGGAGCTCTTGATAACAAACTTCTGTTCTTACAGGAGCATCCATGGGCCTTCTCATCACGTGCCCAAACCACCTCAATCTATGTTCTCTCATCTTCTCGGCTACCGGTACTACTCCGACCTTTCGTCGAATATCTTCATTTCTTATCTTATCCATCCTTGTGTAACCACACATCCACCTTAACATCCTCATCTCTGCTACTCCCATCTTATGCTCATGTTGCCTATGTGCTGGCCAGCATTCCGCTCCATACAGCATTGCCGGTCTTACTGTCGTTTTATAGAATTTTCCTTTTAACTTCAGGGGGATTTTGCGGTCACACAAAAATGCAGATGCACTGCGCCATTTCATCCACCCTGCTCTGATTCTGTGATCTACATCCTCATCAATCTCGCCACCTTTTTGTAAAATGGAGCCCAAGTATTTAAAAGCATCTTTTTTGGGTACCTCTTCACCATTTAGATGCACGAGCTCTTGGTCCCCATCTCGAACCAGAGAAAACTCACACTTCAGATACTCAGTCTTGCTTCGACTTAATGCGAATCCTTTGGATTCCAATGTGCCTCTCCACAATTCAAGTTTTCTATTAACACCCTCCTTGCCCTCATCAATAAGCACAATATCGTCTGCAAAAAGCATACACCATGGCACTTCCTCTTGAATATCTTTTGTTAGTTCATCCATAACTAAGGCAAAGAGGTAAGGACTTAGAGCCGACCTTTGGTGTACACCTACCGTGATAGGAAAATAACTTGATGATCCGTTACAAGCTTTTACACATGTAGTAGCCCCATCATACATATCCTTGATTGCCTGTACATACTTTAATGGAACCTTTTTCTTCTCCAGAACCCACCATAAAACTTTCCTTGGAACCCTATCGTATGCTTTCTCAAGGTCTATGAACACCATATGCAAGTCCTTCTTCTTTTCTCGGTATCTTTCCATTAGTTGTCGCATCAAGAAAATGGCTTCCATGGTACATCTTCTTGGCATAAATCCAAATTGATTTACAGAAACCTTGGTATCTCTCCTCAAGCGATGTTCAATAACCCTCTCCCACAACTTTATAGTATGGCTCATTAGCTTAATGCCTCTATAGTTTGAACAATTCTGTATATCTCCCTTGTTTTTGTAGATAGGCACAATCATACTTTTCCTCCATGCATCAGGCATCTTATTCGTCTGGAGAATCTTATTAAAAAGATTGGTCAACCATTTTATTGCCGCATCCCCCAGGCCTCTCCACACTTCAATAGGGACACCATCAGGCCCCATGTCCCAAATGGAAAGTCAATATTTGGAGCGACGACTTGCGTGGACAAAGTTGGGCATTCAATCCGAAGAAGGAATGGAATTAGATGACGCATCTGATGACGAAGAAGAGGACGTCAATCCCTTGAGGATTCTAAACCAGGTACAGAATTGGGAAGTGCAACCTGGTTTGTGATGATGAGCCGATCTATGATGATAATCCCATTTATGATGATTATCCTATTGTTGATAATTATCCCATTTATGATGGATCCATCTTATGGTGAAGATTCAGTTTATAATGATAATCCAGTCTATAATAAATCTGATGGTGAATCAGATTATGAAGATCTAATAGAGGAAGATTTATCATTTGAATTTTTGTCTAAAGAAATTCAGATCAGTGGAGATAAACAAGATTCGAGGACGAATCTTTTCCAAGTGGGAGAGAATGATGCACTTACAGTTGGCCCATTGCACATGGCCCAACTTGATTCAGGAAGCCCGGAGTCAACTAGAATTGTGGCCCAATAAATATGACCCAATTTTTAAAAGAAGCAGTAATTTGAAATATAACAAGTTACAATCAAATCCAAGTCCAAATCAAGCAGCAGATATGATCGTGATTTGTTTGGGAAGAAAAGGAAAGCAACATATTTGGCATGATTTGAGATTAAAGATTTGGGATGTATTTTGAATTAGTTATTTGTAATTATTTATTTATTTTTTAGATGTTAATTACTTTTATTTATTTTAGGAAGTTTTATTATTTTTTGAATTTTAGTTTTTTGAATTTTGAATCAATTTGTAATTAGTCTATAAAAGGGATCTTATGACCCTTATTTTAGGAGTTGAATTTTGTTATTTTGAATATAGAAATTGAGAACCGGAGGGTTACTCTTTAGAGAAAATCCCAACTTTCAGTTTAGCCACTTTTCTATGCGCTTTCATAAGCACCCTTTTATAGACTAATTACAAATTGGTTCAAAATTCAAAAATCTAATATTCTAAAAATAATAAAACTTCCTAAAATAAATAAAAGTAATTAACATCTAAAAAATAAATAAAAAATTACAAATAAATAATTCAAAATACATCCCAAATCTTTAATCTCAAATCATTCCAAATATGTTGTTTTCCTTTTCTTCCCAAACAAATCACAATCGCATCTGCTGCTTTATTGGGACTTGGATTCGATTGTAATTTGTTGTATTTCAAATCACTGCCTCTTTCAACAATTGGGCCATATTTATTAGGCCACAACTCTAGTGGACTACGAGCTTCTTCAATCAATGGTTGGGCCATGTACAATGGGCCAATTGTAAGTGCATCATTCTCCTCTGCTAGAAAAATATTCGTCCTTGAATCTTGTTTATCTCCACTAATATCAATTTCTTTGGACAAAAACTCATATGATAAATCTTCCTCTTTTAAATCTCCATAATTTGATTCTTCATCAGATTTATCATAGACCGGCTTATCATCATAAACTGAATCTTCATCATAAGATGGATAATCATCATAAATGAGATAATTATCAACAATCGGATAATCATCATAAATTGGATTATCATCATAGATCGGATCATTATCACAAACTGGATTATGATCATAGACTTCAAAGTCTAGAATGCTGATTTGCATCTCGATATCTTGAAAAGTGGACTGATTTTCAGATCGTACTTCCCAATTCCGTCCCTGGTTTAGAATCCCCAAGGGATTGACGTCCTCTTCTTCGTCATCAGATGCGTCATCTAATTTCATTCCTTCTTCGGATTGAATGCCCAACTTTGTCCACGCAAGTCGCAGCTCCAAATATTGACTTTCCATGCTCTGCACCTCCATAAGAGTTTGCTTCAAAATTTGAATTTTCATGCATACCCGCACGATTCGTCGCTCCAAATCTTGAATTTTCTTTCTCTGTGGCCGCACACAGTTGTTTCAAAACTTGGATTTTCTTGTCCAACGCTTGCTCAAGTTGTTCCTTCAAATCCTGGATCCGCCTTCCGAGCTCTTCATTTTCTATGTCTCGCAGGTCAATCTGACGCAGTTGTCTACATTCTTCAGGAACGAATCCACGTTCCCTACCCTTGTGACTCCGCCGTCGTCGACCTCCACGATTCTGTTCAGCCATTGGTTGAAGGCAACCTAGTGCTCTGATACCAAATGATGCCGAAAGCGCATAGAAAAGTAGCTAAACAAAAAGTTAGGATTTCACAAAAGAGTAACCCTTTGGTTCTCAATTTCTATATTCTCAAATAACAAAATTCAACTCCTAGAATAAGGGTCATAAACACCCTTTTATAGACTAATTACAAATTGATTCAAAAATCTAAAATTCTAAAAATAATAAAACTTCCTAAAATAAATAAAAGTAATTAACATCTAAAAAATAAATAAATAATTCAAAATACATCCCAAATCTTTAATCTCAAATCATTCTTAATATCTTGTTTTCCTTTTCTTCCCAAACAAATCACAATCACATCTGCTGCTTTATTGGGACTTGGATTCGATCTTTGTCATGTAATTAAATGAAATTGTATTGTTTTTTAAACCACTCATTCGTAGGCCCTATGACATATAGTAGATTAAAAACTAATGGGCGGGATTAGCTAGTTTTTTCTGTTGAAAAAGTTTTATGACATGTCTATATCTATTGCCAACTTCATTTTTATTACTGCACGTTTGCCTTTACATTTTTTAATCCTCTGATTGTGTGTAGATGACGACTTGTTGAGGTTCTCGTTAAAAATTCTGTTGGATGTGTATGCTTTATCTGTTGCTAAACTTAATTCTGTTTTGTGTTGTTACTAAAATCTTTTTTCTTTCCCCCTTGTCAGTTGTCATGATAGGTGGTGATTTTGGTTTTTTAGTATTTTATTTTGGTCCTGTTTTTGAGATTTTTAATTAAGGTTAAACTGTTGTTTTTTATCTCAGGAAAACGGAGGAGCAGAAGCCAAAAGAGCAGAAACCTAAAGCCAGTGAGAACAAACCTATCATGACTGAGTGATAACAGCTTGGTTGCATTCAGTTGTAGAATGAAATCGGGGGCTAGTTAGCTAATGTGTTGCTTCTATAAAAAGTATGAACTTTTGGCTGTTTTATTTGGTGTATGTGATGAATCTGGAGCTTGCTATTTGTAGTGGTTTAATTTCCGTTATGGTTATTGTGGACCTGTGTTGGACCCGTTTTGAATTTGACGCACACAAGCAATGAAGGGACTCGTTTTAAAGTTTAGTTAGAAATACAATGTAATTTCTGTGTCAACAGTGACATTGATTACATATATAACGAGTATGATTTTCTTGACAATCACATGAACTCTAGCGCCACCTACCGTACCACTTTCCTCCCCTTTCCCGTTATTCTTTTTCTTTCATCTTCAAACCCCACAAGCGAATTTACTTCTTCACACTTGTTTATTTTTATTTTATATTTTTTTGTATTGCTGGAGTGCTATAAACAGCCCAAAGACAAAAACAACAAATTACAAAGATATTGCATATATAAGACTACGTTCTCTACCAGAAATCTAGATCTGAAGGCAAATCCAACCATGAATAAGATCACAAGGGGGAACACTGAAAGTCATATGGTTTGGAGGAGCAATAGCAAAGCCAAATTTTGCTAGCTTGTCAGCATGCTTATTGTTCTCTCGAGGCAGAAAATCCAACTGAACGGAATGCAGCTTCTTAATTAAGTTTTTAATGCGACACACCAAAGAAGAAGCCACCATCCTCTGTTTCACCAGAAATGCACATTAAAGCTTCTTTAGAATCACAAGCAGTAATCGTTAGAGCATTTAAGTTCCAAGCTAGGAGCATGCCATGAAAGCAATCCCATAATTCAGCTTCTAAAGTTGAACAGTAGTCAATGTTATAAGCAAAACCAGAAAACAAATTACCATTAGAATCACAGATAAAACCACCACAAGCACTTTTAGAACTAGTTACATAGGTTGCTCCATCATCAAATAAAAAGCTTTGCTGAGATTTGTGACATGTTGCCCTATTTGAGATAGAGCCAACAAAACTTCTGGATTATACAAATGGTTACTGGCAGGTTTCATGTCCGGTAAGAAGTGAAGAATTTTGGCTATAGGATCTGTATCTATGTAGCACCGATACTGACATAGGATACGTGACACGACACGACACTCCGACACGATGATTCTAAATTTTTTTAGATTTTGACACGTTAGGACACGTTTTGATATTAAATAATATATATAATTTATGTAGTATATATTATATTTAATATTCAATAATTTAACTAAAAAATGAAAATAAACTTATAATATCCATAAATTTTGCAAAAAAACATAAGATATCCCAAATATTTATATTAAACTCAATAAAATGGTAATCTTAATCCATCAAATCTAATAGTTGGAACAAAAAACTCAACGCAACGCAACCTTTGAACATTTTTTTGAATTTCTATTACGCGTGTTGGAGTGTCGGGAAGTGTCGGAGTGTCGGACACGACACATCAGGATATTTGAAGTGTCGGTGCTTCATAAGTTTGTATCAAACGCCTCGTCTCGAGCCAGTTTGTTAACATACAATATGGTAATAAAAATGCAGCATGCTTAATTTATTAAGCGGAAGACTTATTAAAAGTATCAGTGGTATCCTATATAACTATGTGACTTAACTTTTTCCTTATGTATTGTCATGTATACAATATTTTTCTTATTATAATAAATTGTATAGTCTCATACCTCAACAAAATTCAATCTTGAATCTCTGTAACCATAATTAATGGTCAATGACTATATAAGTATGATAACATATACCATCCGGATAGAATCTTACGGACAATATTTCAATTGTAAACTAGACAATCTAGGAATAATATCTCATTGTCATTCATGGTACCTGAAAACCAGAAGACACAGTACAGACAAATAACAAACAATCCACACCAATGGACCCAGAATCCATCCATGGATTCATACAGAAAATGGCTCTGTGCCAATACTTACATAATCTAATATATCAGACATACATTCTTATACATGTCAATATCAAAAGCATATAACTGTATAAAGGCTACACATGCCTTAATTACAGAATATATACATCATATACATACATGTCTCTCAAAACAAATATCAAATTGTACAACAATAAATGGTCATATACATGCTCTACAAAAAGTATATATAGTCATCCAAAAAACATCAAATCTCCAACAGTCATGGATGCTCTAACTTTGTGCAGCCTCTTGCCCTGTGAGGACTCTCTTGCTACTGCTGGAATACCTGAAACATGTCCCCAAACGGGGTGAGATTCAACATATCAGTAAACTCGGGGTTTATAGAGGAGTCTCCACGTATGTGTTCACTTCCTACATGAAAGGTTAGATGCAGAGCATGGAAAACATCATATAATCATAACTAAAATATGACTTCCAGGAGCTTGAGTCTTCCCTTGGATAGTCCTGAAAAAATATTCCGAGAACATTAGTCCTTATGAGAGAGAACAAATTATTCCAAGCACCTTGATCCTCACGAAAGATAACAGATTCCTCCGAGCACCTTGGTTCTCACGGAATATGTTCAATGGCCATGAACCACAAATCATATATCAAATCATACATATACATGTTCTACATGAATGCAACTATACTAAGTATCTAACATTCATCACAACATATACATATCAAACCATAATCCAATTGAACCATGGTGGAACAAACAAAGAGGAGAAAAACTCCTAAATCGAAAGCTTACCTCTTGAAACTTCCAATTCAATGCTTACTTGAAATCCAAGAATCTTCACACACTTGAGCTATACTTGAAATATCCATACAAAATAGCTTGCTACCATCAACACCTAATTCCAAGGTGAAGAATACAATCAATTATAGATTACAAATAAAATGCAAGCTAACAGATACAACATTATCAACCCAAAGTTTGGTAACTTACCTAATCTTGATTCGTTCAAGATTTCAAATCAAGATCCATTGTTTGATTTTCCTTCAACCGTTCACTTGGTTCCAAATTTACAACTTTGAGAAGCATCTGGAGATGTCAAGAACACATTAGGACAACAAGCATACCAAACCAAAAGGAAAATGAAGCCAATCAAGGACATTGTTGAAAACAAAGTTATCGAGTCTTCGAGTCTTTTACATTTTGGAGTATTACATTTGGTTTTGTAATTATACTAAATAGTTATAGGTATTTTGATTGGGTTGTAAATGGTCTTTCTATAATTTTTTTATTAGTAGCCATGGTTGTTACTTGTGGGGTTGCTTGATTATTTGTTTATTGCTTGCAAGGATTTTGCATGATCTATGATTGATTGTGAAAAATCACTATGATAAACTAATAGTTTATCATGTTTTTAAGGACTAAAGTCACTCTTATAGTCAAAAGCATGAAAACTTAGGGTTAACTGGATAAAAATTATGGAGTTTGAATTATTGACTTATGTGAATGATTTTTCCTTATTTTATAGGATAATGAAGTTGAATTGGAGCATTGGAGCAATGGTTAAGCTTGAAGGACTTAAAACGATAAAAGAGAAGCAGCCATTTAGTGAAAATCTCACTAGATCTGTCTTCCAGCCAATTTTTAGTATCTAAGATGATGGATTTGGATCTCGTATTCTTCATAGAAGTTGTAGATCTCTTTTATATTACCAACGAGACCAAGATCATATCAATTGGATGAGTATAACTTAAGTTATGGCCAAAATATGAAACCATGTTTTTGCTTTCAAAATAGCGCGTTATAACAAGCTCCAACCCATTTTAATGCGCTTCAGCCCGTTTTAATGCCCGGTTGCGACCCAATAAGGCCCATTATAGGATTTTCACCCAAAGTTAGGATTCCTACACATATTTAATCTAATTTTCAGAGGAAACTCATAACACTTGACACTGGAGGCATAGTTTTATCCTATGATTGCAATCGTGAAGCTATCGCGCGAGATAGCAGTTCTGGTGGGGGTTGCGGCACCCGGTTGCAATTTCTGCACTGCGATGCCACAATATTCGGTAGTGGACGGTAGCGGCGATGGCGGATGACAGCTCTTGCAGCGTTATTGCGCCGCTACAGGGAAAGGAAGAGGAGTTGCAGAAGTTAATTGAGAAAATGAAACGGTTAGAGTAGGGTGGCAGCATTTTGTAAATTTGATTATCATTTAAGGGTATAACGGGAAAAGGGCAGGATAAATGAAGGTAAAATAGATATTTAACTTAAAAAGCCAGCAATTTTCTTTTTTATTGAAAAATAAAAATAAAAATAAAAATCAGTCATCACTCCTTGGCTGTCACATGCACATCTGCTACCCTACTGCGGTGGGACCACACTCCTTGGATGTCACATGCACATCTCCTTTTCAGATATCATTCTATCTATTTGAAATTTGTATCTTTTTTTTTCATTGTTGATAATATATTTTCAATCCCTCCATTTCAGTAATTATTTTTAATTTTTTATGTGTTTTAAAGAAGTTTTTGAAAACGTCGAAATATATAATTTAAATAAGGATATATGAAACAAATACAAGTTTGTTTTAAAAAAGTGTAGAAATGATATAAAATTTTCACATATTTCACCTATTTAAATTAGAATCCCATGTAATCACATAATATTAAGTATTAGTTTAAAGAGTACATTTTTATATAAGGGGTTGTTTTATTAAAAATAAAAAATGTTAGAATGTAAGTGTCAATAACCAGGAGAATAAAATGAAAAAAATAATTATATAAATTTTTATTAAATTTAATAAAAGATGGAGTGAAGATATTTTCTAGTTTAAATTAATATAAACGTACGTAAAAAAAAATCGATATTTACTTGCTTTTTTTTTGCTGAGATGAAAAGAGGGAAATTTTGTCTTCCTTTCACTTCGTCTTCTTTCCCTCTTCTTCTTTCCTTGGACTTTGAAGATCTTAAACAACACTAGATGAGTTTTGAAGACTTTCATGAGAATTTGAAGATCTGAAACAAGCACTCCATTTAAGGCCCTATGTTTCTCAAACGACTTGCTTCCTTTTTTTGTAGATTTGATTAGTTCTTTTCCTTCTCGACTTTGAAAGAGCCATTGAAAATTTGTATTTGACTCTAGTTGAATCCTTTATGTTCCTTGAATCCTTGTTTTGAATGTGTAGTATTATACTTTCCATTCCTCATTTTCTCTTATTTTGGGTGATTTCTTATCTTATAGCATTTATATATGTGGTATAATTTATTATAAGTATTTATATGAACTTAACAATAACGACTTTACCACTACCCGCTATACTGCTATAGCGTTTTAGGGGTCGACCGCTACTCGCTATTTAAAAC